AACTTTTATTTGCATAAAATATAGACATCAAAGCAATTTCAATCTAAAAATGTCCTTAATGATCTATAATTTACTTATTTAAATGAGTGATATTTACTAGATTATGTTGTATTTAACAACTGTATAATATTTAAGTCAAAATCTCCAGTTGCAAGATTATGTAATGTTATATTATTATATATTTTCCATTATGCCTAATGTTTTCTGCTATTATTATATTATTGATCTATATTATTTTTATTATTTTTTAATATATATATTGTTAATACTATTGTCAAAATAAAATTTCAATGTTGTAATAATATTAACCTTTGGTTTTGGACACTATATTTTTTCCTCTTCTACTCCCTAACACGGTGTTGGGTTAAGATACAATTTTGAATAATAGTTCATTACAAAAAAGACAAAATGCTGAACATTTCCTTTTTTTACAGTACACAGGACTGATTTTTAATATCTGAAATATTTTAATCCATATATTCAACTAATCTCGTTATAATTTTCGACACTATTTTTTCCTTTTCGCCTCCTCAACACTCCCTTAACACTTTAAGATAAACTTTTGAGTTTTAGCTTTTTAAAGAGAGTATGAAATGCTGAACAATATCCTCGCATACAGTATGCAGTCCCGATTTTTAGTTTCTGAGATATTTTAATCCATATGTAAATACATTTCAATTATTCGACTATAGCCGAATTTTATAGCTTTAAAATCTGACGGATCAATCTAATTCACTCTCCACAAAAAAAGTGCTAAACGCGGCAAAAGAAGTTTTCATAAAAAAAAAAAAATCGTACTTTAGTGTTTTAAAGGAAGATAAAACCCCCGAATTCGATTTTTTCATAACAAAAATTAACTTGGCCAACCTTACTAGATGCGTGTTTTGATTTTGACAATTTGAGCTCATTTAATATTATCAGCAATGTTTTTTTCTTCCTATTTTGAATGAAAGAAAAAATGGTGATTATCTACAAACGGTGCCCCACCGGCCATCTTGGCTGAATTGAGATTATACGCTGTGTTCCTGATAACGTTTACAAAACACACCACCAGGAAGATCCACTATTGCGGAGGGGTTGTCTTGTCCCCTCCACCTTACGTTCATTACAAATAATTACCAAATGTAACCTTTACAATATATATAGTACCCACCATTTTTTTTTAACTTGTTGATTTCTTTGTATCTTCAATATATCGATTAACCAACTTTATATTTTAGATGTTATTATAAACACATATTACCAAAATCATTTTTTTTTTCATTATACATTACTAATATTATTTATAATTATAGTGTTTATATATTGCCCGTTTTTGTTTTTTTAACTTCGAGATTCATCATTATTAATTCTTTTCGCTTTCCTTATCATAAATTAAAGAAGTTTATTAACTTAAGTTTTGTTTTAATTGTGACACTTTATTTGTAATTATACATTACCTATGCCCAATATTAATGCAATTCAGGAAGAATTAAACAATTTTCTATAAGGGTTTTGATGCTGGATCAGGGTTATGTTTTTCAATTATATGTTACTAAAATCTTCTAGCAATAAAACACATTTTCAGTCTACTGAGGTACATACTGGCATTACCAGATTCTAAGCGAAATGTTTCAGGATCATGTAGGAGAGCTCTAGCGATTCATTTAATTTAAAATAATCAAAGGACAAAATACTACTGACTTTAAATCTAAACTTGTCAGGAACATTACGAGTTCTTAGCGATTGGTCCCTTGTACATTCCCCTTGGAACCTCACATTTTCTACATAATTAACTATGCCAATCATCGTATCTGTATGATAGTCAAGTATCTTAGCAACCTGTAGGTATATACAAAACGCAATGCTCGAAGAGGTATTTGGTTAAGGAGTAATCTTTTTCAAGCATTAACTAAATTATGTCAACTTGAGCCTGTAAGATTTATAACAGATGCTTTAAATATATTTTTACCTATGGATCTCAATTATTCACATTTGGTTATTATAATTCCTAAATTGTCTTAATCTCCAAACCAATTTAAATTATCTGACCAGTAATCCCTAGACATTTTCATTGCTGTCTACTTATATTATCTGTATCTACTTTTATATTGTGTTGTCTACTTAATTTTTCTGAATCCTGTCAGAATGAGATATTAAGCAAGAAAGTGTAAGTTATCTTCATCATGTGTATTCCGCCAGACGTAACTCTTTACCTTCTTCTTCATAAAATGTAAAATGTCCCTTAGTTATATAAATGAAGTATAGATCTATGAAAGATTTAGGTTTTACATCATCTCATGTTTTGGCTTCCAGCCTTAATCTTTCCTGACATTATTTAATGAGTTTTTTTAATTTCTTCCTAAGGTATCCCTATACGTTTTTCAAGACTGTAAATAATTTAACTATCGAGAATGACTTATTGTTCAAATAAGGATAAATTACCACCAGTAATGATCAAATTGACCAAGGAAAAGTAATCTAGAATACCTTCTTCTTTTGTACAAACAAATATATTTATTTTATACAAACAGTTCTTCGTGAATAAAATATTCAATTAAAAATATCTAATTAACACACAAGACACTTCCTTTGGAAGAAAAAAAATTGAAATGCACTTTATAAATACGTACAACATAATTTACTAAAAACCAATATTTATAGCCATTTAAATATAAAATATAATTTATATATATATATATATATATATATATATATATATATATATATATATATAATTATATATAAATATAATTTAAATTGGTTTGGAGATTAAGACAATATAGGAATTATAATAACCAAATGTGAATAATTGAGATGCATAGGTAAAAATATGTTTAAAGCATCTGTTGTAAATCTTACAGGCTCAAGTTGACATAATTTAGTAAATGCTTGAAAAAAATTACTCCTTAACTGAATACCTCTTGGAGCATTGCGTTTTGTATATACATACAGGTTGCTAAGTTACTTGTCTATCATACAGATACGATGATTGGCATAGTTAATTATTTAGAAAATGTGAGGTTCCAAGGGGAGTGTACTAAGAACTCGTAAAGGTGGGCTTACACGCTCGGTTTTTACCATCGGTTCAAACCGTCAGGTGAACGGATGAAAAATGGTAGGGGAAACCGTCGGTTTTAACTGAAGAAAAGTTTTACTCTTTTCGTCGGTTTAAACCGTCGGGTAAACGGATGAAAAATGGTGGGGAAACTAGTCGGTTCAGATATCTGACTAGAAGAAACGCAGTATCATGGATCCTTTGATTGCGATAGCTACGGTGCTCGCGGTTAAAAAATCTAGAAAAAGAACCAAGTGGACCAAAGATTAGTTGCTAAAAAGAGAAACACTTTCTCACAGCAATCTTCTCAATGAGTTGAAATTAAAGAATTTCGAACTTCATAATTTAGTGGCCCCCTTATTTAAAAGGGAGGATACTGTTATGAGAGCCTCCATTTCCACACATGAGCGGCTGATAGCCACCCTCCGTTATCTGGCTACAGGGCGAAACTACGAGGACTTAAAGTTTTCAACAATTATAGCAGCCCCAACCCTCGGACAAATAATCCCGGAAACCTGCAGTGAAAGCGAAGTGAGAGATGGATCTCTCGAAATAATTATCTCCCAGAAACGTTCGGTTTCCTGAGAATGCACTAAAGTTATTAGTATTATCCGCAGCTGTGCAAACTTGATAGGCCAATTTCCATTCGTAATAAACAACGTTCTCAAAATCGACATTAATAGTGCTTGTTTTATTTTTTTAAATCGAAATTGAAAGAAAAATGTGACTTAGCAAAGCAAAAAACCGTCGGGTTGGAACGATGTGTACTTAGACGGTCCGTTTGGCCTGTCATCGTTCCAAACCGACGGGTTTATTTTCTGTTCCAAACAGATTTTTTACCCGCCGTCCAAACCGACGGTTTTCACCTTCAGACGATCGGGTTTTCCATCGGTTTGACCCGACGGTTCAACCCGTCGGTTCAAAACGGACGGGAAAAGCGATCGTGTAAGCCCGGCTTAATGTTGTTGACAAGTTCAGATTTAAAGTCAGTAGTATTTTGTTCTTTGATTATTTTAAATTAAATGAATCGCTAGAGCTCTCCTATATGATCCTGAAACATTTCCCTTAGAATCTGGTAATGCCAGTATGTACCTCAGTAGACTGAAAATGTGTTTTACCGCTAGAATATTTAAGTAACATATAATTGAAAAACATAACCCTTATCCAACATCAAAACCCTTATAGAAAATTTTAAATTTTTTAGTATATACAATCTAAAATATAGCATGGTCAACCATCAAATATTTAAAAATTTAGATAAAGTGTCACAATTGAAACAAAATTTAAGTTAATGAAGTTCTTTCCATGAAAAAAATTGTTTACGACAGTATGCTGCACATTAGACTGAAAATGTGACATAATATATCTAAAAAGTATAAGCATAAATATATTATGTGGATATATAAAAAGTATAAGCATAAAAATTTTATGTGGATAAGATGGAAATTTTAATGGGTGTTCAATCGATAAGGTGGGTAAGGAATGCTAAATTAAAAAAAAAAAGGCGGGTAATATATAACGTAAACGATCTAATTTCTATATTTACTGAAAACAGAGGTATGGTGGAGGGGACAAGATAACCCCTCCGCAATAGTGGCGCTTTCTGGTGCTATATTTCGTAAACGTTATCAGAACACAACCTATAACATCACTTCAGGCAAGATGGCCGGTGCAGCACCGTTTGTAAATAATTACCGAAAAAATAGGTTGGTGTATAACATAGGTGGGGTGACCTCTAGGTCGCATGTGGCTGCAGTTGCGGGCTCCAAATGTTATATAGATATATTTATTAATCTAAAGAAGGATCATTTTGAAATAACAATTATTAAATAAAGAAAACGAATTCTGAATGTATTATTGTCAAGCGTTTTAAATACAAGCATAACACATTAGCTAGTGCTCATCAAGAAAACGTGTCTTAAAAAGAATTATTATAAGAAGAATAAAATTATTTAACGCTTACTTGTGGTGGACATCACCCATTTTAAGTTTTTCATATCAAAAAATCCGCCGTGAAGTCCTGTTTTCCTCTCAATTTGAGAGGGAAGATGGTGGTTAGCTTGGATGTTTTGTTCTGAGGAGGATCAAGTCTATAACGAGAATGACGCCTGGGGTCGCCCGAAGAGTGGGAGAGTCACGTGACACAGAATAAAATCTATCATCTATTCATTAGCCTTAATAGTACTCTGATATGTACTATGCATGTGATATGTACAAAGTTGAACTTATAGATGCGATTTTAATATTATTTAACGATATGAATAATATTTTCCTTCTTTTATTCTTACATTTAAGTAATATATTTTTAAATATTAGGTTATAAATGGAAAAATTCCAACCACGCAGCCTTATATCTCCAAAACGTTCAATGTTTCAATTAGTAGTGGAAAAATAATTACAGGTTCGAATCTCGGTACGCAGTGGGACTCACTGGACAGTGGGAGGGGCATAATTCCCTCGCCTTCTCCCCCGGCCCGAGAAACACCCGTGTAGCTTAAATGGCAAAGAAAAAAAAATGAATAAATTAAATTAAAAAAAGATATTGAGTTGTTTAAAGCCCTTCTTGGTAACAAAAAAGTGTTGTCAAACAAAATACTTTAAATAAAACAGTATAGTATTTTAATAGATGATTCCTTGTACAGTTTAGGTGAATTTATTAATTCAAAATAGGACATTATTAAACAAATTCTATTAAACCTGCTACTAGATATATACAGTCTTTTGGAACTGTAAAGTACGCGATCTATACGTTCGTGAAGTCCATACTATAGCAATCTGTTGGGGAGGCTAAGCCCCAACCATGGCATCATTAGGGGGGGGGGAGACTCAAACTCTGCGAGCCCATGTAGCCACATGTCTACAATGTCTGTAATGCCAACAGAAAAAAAAATGCTATATCAAAAGTTCTTTGTATAACCATTATCTTTAATCTATGTAATAACATGCAGGCATTGAGTATAATATACATCAAAACGAAGTAAGCAATTTGAGGAAGCCTTTCCTAAATTAAGTCGGCAGTGGAGCTGCCCGCCAATTTTCGTTGTTTTACTGCGTTAACACCTGCCATTTGACGATCATCTTAACTGTTGGGAGAGAATTGAACGGAATAACACTCCGAACGTGAGGGTATAAAGAGTTTTACGTTGTCGAATGAAACTTTTACGAGGATCGTAAAGGTTGAATAGGATGTATTAATTTACTGCTCTAGTAATAGTGTCTTTTTATTTATTTTATTTTTATTGTCGTTCATTTTGTTCAATTTCATTGTGGCTAATAATTAGTTTAAATAGTTATTTACTGACTTTTTTTTTTATTTCTCGATTCATAAAAACAGAGATATTATTATTCTACCATGTATTAATTTTTTCTGCTTGTTTTGACAATATATTCACACTTTGAAGTTTTTTTCTAAATAAAAATATTGCTTTATAAAGTTATTCATACTTAATTTTTAACGGCAAAATAAAACAAAAAGAACTCCGTAACATTGGAATTACGAGTAAAAAGTTAAATAAATAAAAGGAATATATTTCTTAACTAGAATTATTTATTTCACATTTTATGTTAAGCTTTGAGAGCACAAAGGGGTGATTATATATTATTATATTATATAAACTGTATCTTAATAACTATATCTATATAAGTATATATATATATAGAATAGGATAGAATAGAAAATTAAACTTTATTCTGGGACTAAGTCCTTTTAGAATAACAATGATGAGTTAATACAAAGTAAAGTTCAAATCTGGCCCAAAATTAACTTCTAAAAATTGTAATATTATATACATTATTTAAAAAGTATATATATACCAGTAAAAAATAAAATATATATACAAATGAACATAAAATCTTTTCAAAATTACTTAATTGTGATGAAAAAAAAAAGGAAGAGAAATTACATATTTATATATACATAACTACACAATTTATAAACAATAGGCTATCTAATAGAAAACTAACTTAATACAAAATGTAATAATATCTACAGTGATTTATATAATAATATGCAGACACTAAGATAAAATAAAATCTTAGGATTACTTGTGGTGTAATGGGAAAAAAAATAAATAAAAGGAACTATTTATACGTACATTCTCATATTGGCACACAGAAAGACAAAAATATAAAATATAAACATATATACCCGAAAGAAAAAGCACAACGTGAGGAGAAGAGAAAAAAAAGAAATAGTAAAAATAATAGTCTAACTAGGTGACAAAGATCATTGCTGTGACCATTTACTTATCACAAATTCAGTTCATAAAATGAAATTTATGGTTCGAATCGTCTGTTTGGGATGTGAGGAGATATTGGAAAAGGATGTATTTGAAGGTTGACAGTGAAGAGGCATGACGGATGTTATGTGGCAAAGAATTCCAGTAGGAGACGGAGCGGGCTAAGAAGGAACGTTCATAGGTTTTTGTCCTGTGGAATGGAATATAGAGGTCAGAAACACGGGATCTCGTTTTTATTGAGTGAACTAAGGGTTTAGGCTGGAGGAGACAACATATATAGGAAGGGTGCTGGGAGTTGATCGTTTGGTATAAGAAATTTCCAAGGAAGTATAGGCGGCGGGAAGAGGGGAAGAGCCACTTTGACTCGGTATACAGGTGGGACACATGAGGCCATCTCGAAGTGCCGAAGACGAATCTTAAAAAACGGTTCATGATTCTCTTCAGTCTGTCCTCAAGCTCCAACGAGAGGCCACCGTATACCTCACAGCCATAGGCAAAGTAGGGGAAATCAATGAGGAAACGAGGAGCCTGCGGATAGGTTGTGGGAGATGCTGACGAGAATGATGAAATAATTTAAGAGTACCAATTGACCTTCTGGAGATTTGAGCAATATAGGGTTTCGATGATAGGTTTTGATCAATGGTAATTCCTAAGTTTTTTTACAGAGGAGGTGAAGGAGATTGGTTGGTCATTAATAATCAAGGAAGGAAGGGTGGAAATGGATCTAAGGAGAGAGTTGGAACCTATAAGAATGGCATGAGTTTTCGTTGCATTCAATATATATATATATATATATATATATATATATATATATATATAATAAATAGAAGAATAGTTGGGGTGATGAGTCAAATAAGAAGACAAAATAAATGATACTATTTATTTTGACATTTGCCGTCGTTTCAACCAGAAGTTCAGGCCTTAATCAGGGCTGTCTCCACAAGTGTACACGGATAAATGAAAAAAAAAAAACTGTCATTATTCACGACAGTCAACGATTTACCCACAACTATATACATTATATATATATATATATATATATATATATATATATATATATATATATATATATATATATATATATAGAGAGAGAGAGAGATATATATAAATATAATAGATATAAACATTTACTAAGAAATGTATATAAAATTACATCAGCGGGTTTATTGAGGTAAAGGCATTATGTACTCCATTTTGACTAGTGTTGCCCAAAATAGGTCTTAGTCTTGCACTTAGCAAGACAAAGACCAAGGCCGCCTAACAGTCGCAAGACCAAGACCAAGGCCGCCTATCTGTTGCAAGACCAAGACCAGTACTGGTAAACAAAATATATTTTTTGAATAAAAATTAAGGCAAAGAGTTACTCATACTTTACAATCTTAGTAACTGCATCTATATAATGGATATAACCAATATAATTTTACATTTATCTCCTTTAATTTTTCATTTGGGCTTAGTTGGGTTTCTCCTATCTAAAAAAATAAAGTAATATCTCTATAGCAATAGGCTAAGACCATTTGCGAGACTCTTGCGCAAGCGACCTCTCTCTCTTCTTTCCAATGGTACATGCTTCCTTTTATAGGTCGTCTGCCATTCTCGTAACCTACCCAAACCAACTTAGCTTTTTTGTCAAGATTAGTGTTGCCCAAATGCGACACCGAGACGAGTCTTGGTCTTGCAAATTCAGTCTTGGTCATGGTCTTGGTCTTGCGCAAGAGTCTCGCAATGATCTTGCAGTTACTTATTAGCTTATTACTACAGAGATACTACTGTATTTTTTTAGATAGGAGAAACCTAACCCTAGCCCGAATGAAAAATCAAAGGAGTTAAATATAAAATTATATTGGTCATATGAATTATTTACATGCAATTACTAAGATTGTAAAGTATGAGTAACTATTTGCCTTAATTTTTATTCAAAAAATATATTTTTTTACCAGTGCTAGCCTTGGTCTTGCTACAGTTAGCCGGCCTTGGTCTTGGTCTAGCTATGTGCAAGACTAAGACCGATTTTCGACAACACTACTCAAAAAGGAGTACATGATGTTAAAGAGTTCTTTTATTTTTTTCTTTAATGGTGTTATTTGAAACGTGTTGTAATCTAGATATTCCCCAACTACGTCTCCAGAAACCATTTCTATTGGTCACAGTTTTCTTGCTGATTCGGTTTAAATAGTGCAGGTTTCTGATGCAGGGCTTACAATAAATGAGTGGTAGAGTCTCTTTATCCTTGATTAGAAACTAAAAAATAATTTATTATTTTTAAAAAACGGACATAAAGTACGAGATATGACATATATGATTATTTACTTAAACAAATTGATTGGTGTTTGGCGAGGTTTGTAGATTTTTAAATTTTGTATTTTAGTCGGATTGCCTTCCTTTACAAATTACGGTTCCTTGCTCGACAATTCCGACTCATGTGTGTTTTATAAATACAGAAAACTCCTTACTGTTTGTTTAAATAATACATAAAGTGTATTAATGTATTGTCAGAAGATACTTGAGTTTCGTTTGGGTGTGTTAGGCACTCAACTAATATACCAGGTTTCAGTATTTAAAGACTCCACTAACAAACCACCACCGAGGTATTTAAGTAGAATGTACATTTCGTCATCTAAGGCAAATATGATTATTTAATTGTCATTTTTTTATCAAAATAAATATTTAAAACATAAGATCCGATAAATTAACTCATACAAATTGGTGAAGATTTCAGAAGAAGTTGAAAATAATATTTCACACAAATGATATAGTTATAATTAGTGAATTACACAGATTTTTATTACTTATTGTTATTATAATTACTTATTATGAATTATCTTGAATGACGAAAAATAAATTCCAATGATTCGATGAGAGGCCTTCTTTGTTTGTCTGTCTCAGGGCGTACTTGACCTTTGATATGCTACTGTTAAAAATGATAATTA